AGATCCTCTTCCACTGCTTCTTCTTGAAGGGGCTCACCTGATCCTGGTCTGATGTATTTGGAAGATCGACCCAGCTGTCGGAAACTTTCGCCAACGCCAGGTGCATGGGGCCGATCTCATTGATCGTCTTCCTGATTTGGCCCACACTGCGCTTCCTGCTCGACGATCTCTCTCTCTCTCTCTCTTTCTCTCACTCTCTCTCTCTCTCTTCTCCTGGCCATTCCTCGACGACGATCTCGGGCCCTTGCTCCGATAAGACTGCCGCTGCTTGGCGGTCTGGCCCTTGCCGTACGGGTTACCGCACTGCTTACATAACCAGAACGCATTTCCATTCTTAGTGGAGCACTGGCTGCACACCCAGCCCGTCATGTTGCTGCTGCTGCTGGTGCTGGTGCTGAGCTGCTGCTGCTGCTGCTGCTGCTGCTGCTGCTGCTGCTGCTGGGGCTGCTGCGCGCTGTGATGCCTCTCGAGGCGGTCCCGCGCAGCTGCCAGGCGGAGTAGCACACGCGCCTGTGCTCAGCGCTCTCGCTCCCGCCTATGCCACGCGCCCTCCTTGGGCGTGGCTGCAGCACGTCGCGGCCTCCGCGGCCGCAGTCCTGAGGTTCGGGCGGGGCGCCTGAGCCCTGGCCGTTGGGGGGTGGCCGCCGCGGCGGCGAAGGGGCGACGACGGACGTCCCCCGCGCGGCGGCGGGCGGGGCTGCGGCCCCCCCCCCACTCCTCAGCCGGTGGCTTCCTCCTCCTCCTCCTCCCCCCTCCTCCCTCCTCCCTCCTCCCTCCTCCCTCCTCGTCCTCCTCCGCCTCCTCCTCTCCTCGCGCTCTTCCGCCTCTTCCTCCTCATACTCCTCATACGCCTGCTCCTCCTCCTCCTCATACTCGTGCCCCTCCTCCTCGCACTCTTCCGCCTCATTCGCCTCGTCCTCCGCCTCTCCATCCCCCTCCTCCCCGTCATTCTCGCCTCATCCTCCTCCTCTTCCTCCTCCATCCTTTTCTTTATACATAGCAGCCAGCGTGGACCCCAAAATGTGAATTCAAGAAACGTATGCGGTGCAGTCGAGGTGATGCAGTTAATGTGGTGCAATCTAAGTGGTGCATCCCATGTGGTGCAATCGATGTGGCGCAAATGCACATCAACGCAAAGCAATGCAAATCAATACAAATCAGTGCAACAACAATGCACATCGTTGCACATCAATGCGAAGCTATGCCAGGCAACGGAAAGCAACGCAACGCAATGCAGAGCAACACAAGGCAATGCAAAGCAGCGCAATGAAATACAAATCAATAAAACGCGATGTAAATTCATGCGAAGCAGCGCAATGCAGCGCAAGGTCACGCAACGTAGTGCAGAGCAACGCAAAGCAATGCAAACTAACGCAATCAATGCTAAGCAATGCGTAGCAACGCAACGCAAAGCAAACTTTGACTAAACAATGCGCAGCAATGTAAATTAATGCACAGTGACAGCAATGCAATGCAACGCAACGCGCAGCAGCGCAAAACAATGCAAAGCAACACTAAGCAACGCAACGCAATACAAAGCAATGCAAAACAATGCCAATCAATGCAAAGCTATGCAAAGCAACGCAAGCCAATGCAAAGCAATGCCAAGCAGTGCCAAGCAATGCAAAGGAATGCAACAATACGCACAGCAATGCCAATAATTGCAAAGCAATGCAAATCAATGCAAATCAGTGCAAAGCAATACACATCAATGCAACGCAACGCAAAGCATTGCAACCCAGCGCAAAGCAAGGCATGGCAGCGCAAAGCGATGCGACGCGATGCAAGGCAATGCGCAGCAGCTCAAAGGAATAGACATCGACGCCAAGCAACACAACGCAACGCAGAGCAGCGCGCAGCGAGGCAGAGCAACGCACAGCAATGCAACGCACTGCAAAGCAATGCAAAGCGGGCGGCGACGAGGCGGCGGGCGGCGACGCGGCGGCGACAGCGACCGCACGGCGGCGACGGGCGGCCGGCGACGGCGGCCTCATAGCGGCCAGAGCGGCCCGCAGGCCCAGACGACGGACGGCGACGAGGCAGCGATGGCGGGCACGTGGCGGCCAGAGAGATCCGGAGGCCCAGCTCCGTAGACGACAGGTGAGAACCCCTAGGTGCAAAGACTGTTTGGGGAATGTCTCCTCTCCGTCGCACCTCCAGGCGTGTCGGTAGGGCGGGCCTGGCGTTTCGCTTCATACGCCCTCACCGTTTACGATCCTGAACTGCTGGAGCCTGCAACTGTTGCAGACATGGAGGGCGGGCCGTTTTCAAAATGTGGCTCTCGCCTTAGCGCCTCGCGCAATCGTTCTTAAAGCTCGCAGCAGTTTCACGGATGGAGGGCAGGTGTTGAGGTTTTGCCGCGCAAGTTCGGGTTGCCAGGACGCAACAGTCATGTTCATACGCGGCGTCGAAGACCCAGGAGTTACGTTCTGGCACAATTTAAAGTTGTCAGGACGCAACAGTCACGTTGATTCGAGACGTGGTGGCTTGGCACGATTTAAGATTCTCAGATGGTTGTCTTTCAAGGGGGACATCCCGCAATGAAGATAAGCCCCCTTGTAAGGGGTCTGTGGAGAGGGAAGTTGGAGGCCGTATTGCAACACCGTCGACGCGTCTTGGGTGAACACTGGTCCTCCTCCTCCTCCTCCTCCTCCTCTTGCCCCACCCTCCTCGTGCTTCTACAGGGGTGTGGCAGGATGCCGGGGGGGGGGGGGCACCCGTTGCCAAGGCAGACGACGAGCAGCGTCCCTGCCATCCCGCCGAGCGTGACCGCCGACTCCGCGGTCGCCCCCGCAAGCGTGCACACGGTCGTCATCTCAGGCCGAGGGGCGGCGGCGGCCTCCCCCGCCGCACTCTCTTCGGGCGTCGCGCTGCCTTCTTCAGGGCCTTCCTCTTTGGAGTCTTCCCCCGGTTCCGAGACTGGGCGAGCTTCATGTGCAACGTTGGGGGGGACAACCGCAGAGGGTCTTTAATGATGCCCCCCCCCCCCCCAAGTCCTCGGCGGGGAATAGAGACTCGTCCCTCCTCCTCCTCCTTCTTCCCCTCCCTCCTCCTTCCCGCCCGTCCTCCTCCTCCTTCTCCTTCCGCCTCCCCCTACCCCTCCTCCTCCTCCTCCTCCTCCTCCTCCTCCTCCTCCTCCTCCTCCTCCTCCTCCTCCTCCTCCTCCCCTCCCTCCTTGGGGGGGGATACAGCTCAGGGGGCGAGCGCATCGGCCTCTCATCGCCGACTCGTCGCCGATAGGGGCCTCGTAGCCCACCCCGTCCAGGCACGGTGCGGCGTCGCGCTCGGTGGCCTGCCGCCGATGCCTCGGCGGTGTGTCGCCGATTCAGGCTCGATGGAGAAGGAGGAGGAGGAGGAAGAGGAGGGAGGAGGAGGAGGGAGGGAGGAGGAGGAGAGGAGGAGGAGGGAGGAGGAGGAGGAGGAGGAGGAGGAGGAGGAAGAGGAGAAGAGGAGGAGGAGGAGGAGGAGAGGAGGAGGAGAGGAGGAGGAGGAGGAGGAGAGGAGGAGGAGAGGAGGAGGAGGAGGAGTGAGGAGGAGGAGAGAGGAGGAGAGGAGGAGGAGGGAGGAGGAGGAGAGGAGGAGGAGGACGAGGAAGGAGAAAGGAGGAGGAAGGAGGAAGGAGGGAGGAGGGAGGAGGGAGGAGGAGGAGGAGGAAGAGGAGGAGGAGGAAGGAGGATGGAGGAGGGAGGAAGGAGGAAGGAGGACGCAGGAAGGATGAGGAAGCCCCCCCACCCCCTGGCGTTGCCCCTCAGGTTGGGTGGCCCAGCCGCTCCGGCTCTTCCGAGTCGCCTCCGTCGTCGTCTTTCGGAGATCCCGAGCGCTTCCCAGGGGCCGTCTGCATAGACGGGCTAACGGCGATGTAGGTAACGGCGATGTAGGTTTCGGTATTGAGGGAACGCGTTGCTCGCGCTCTGCTACAATTCGCTGTGTCGTGCTCGCTCGATCCATTCGCGGATAGGGAAGTGTGGTTCGTGATCTCCTACATTTTGGTTTCCAACATCACCGTTAAGCAACATCGCCGTTAGCCCAGCCTTGGTGACGGTCGGAAGGGGGCCTCTGGCGGCCTGAGCTGCGACCAGCACAGCGGCCGCCGCACTCCTTTGGCCCGGGACCCCTGGAGGTGTCGGTCTCTTGGTCATCCCTGCTGCTCCCCCCAAGGCTGCCCCGAGGGGTAGGGCGGAAGCTAGCTGCAGGCGGTGCTGACGGTGACCCCCGGCCGACCGCTCGGGTAAGCCAGCAGGTACATCCTCTGAATGTTGTCATCCGTTTGGTGCCCAGAGCGTAGAACACAGACTGCTACACTCCTCCCCCGCTTCGTCCTCCTCTTCGACCGCTCTCTCTCTCTCTTTTTCCCTTTTTCTCGTTTGTTGTTGTGTGTTTGTTTCCTTCTCTCTCTCTCTCTCTCGCTCTTTTCATCTCGGTCTCTCTCTCTCTCTCTCTCTCTCTTTCTTTTTTTATATGGGTATCGTTGTGTGTTGTGTTTTTGCTATCGCTCTCTCTCCCTCTCTCTCTTTTTTTTTCTCTCTCTCTCTCTCTCTCTCTCTTCCCCTCTCCCTCCATCGCCCCTTTCGTGTCTACATACATCCACACCTCTCCTCCCCCCTGCCTCCTACTCATCGCTCCTCCTCTTCTCCTCTCTTCGCTCATCGCTCCTCATATTCCCTTTTCTTCGCTCATCGCCCATCCCCATCATCGAATATCATATTATTATTGTGATTATTCTTCCTCCTCCTCCTTCTCCTTCTCCTTCTCCTCTCTTGACATCCTCATCATTTCTCGCTCCTTCTCCCCCCTTCCTCTTCGGGTGGCGATTTCGAATGATGCGCAAGGGAGCCGGGCGGAATCAAGGTAGAGGGAGCGGCTTTGACGCGCAACGGCGCAGTACGATGGCAAGCAGGAGTGCGATGCAGACAAGGACAGTGAGCGGGCGGATAGCCGAAGAGGAGGAGCAGCAGCAGTGTCCGATTTGCGTTGAATTACGCAGCATGAGCGCCGCGGGGATGAGCAGCACGGGGCGCCGGAGGGTGCTGTCAGGCTTCCAGCGCGCCGATCTGAACAGGGCCTACTATTTCGATGTCAAGATCCAGGCTTGCAGCAAGCCCTGGGGGGCCTGCCAGCCCCGTCGCGGCAATGATGGCGATCATTGCGCTGTGTAGCAAGTGAGCAGCGATGACACGTACGCGCCCTCACCATCATTCTCTGTTTTCATCCGTTTCTTCATCTCCCCCTCTCTCGGCCTATGCCCAAAGAAGTAGATACACATAAATTTCGACTATTCTCATATGTTTGCAATCCTGGGCGGGGGCAAGGGGGCTCTCTTGGGCCGTCCTGGGGGGATAGTTTGGCCTTATGTTGGCCGTCTTGGAGCGTCGGAGGCCGGAAAGACCAGAACGTGGGGAGCCTTTTGGGGCTCTCTGGGCCTGTCTCGCGGCCCTCCTGCCTCCAGACAAGCCGCGCAGGGACGCGCGGGAAGTCCCAGGAACGCCCAGGAACGCCCGAAAGCGCTGCTGGCACGCTTGAGCTGATCTGGGGGGCCACGGCTTCCCGGCGCTGCATACATATCTATCTATATATATAATAACATATACACATATATTGGCATAGTGGCATGTGCATGCATCTCTCTCTGTCTATATGTATCTATACATCTATTTTTATACACATGTATGTTACATTAGCTATGTGTTGCATTACCTGTATCTCGTTATACCCAGATCGCTATATTTATGTATTTGTAATGTAAATGTAGATAACAACCTAATATAAAGATGTCTGTCTACATGTATAGTGTCAATAAACATATGTGTACCCACAGTTTGTAAACATATGGATGTGTGTTATGACTGTGCATCTGAACACATGCGTACATATAATTTTAGAACACATGTTCCCCAACCAGTGCGTGCAATCAGGGATTCCTACTTCTCTTCTGAGGAACTGGCCCTGTCCGGCGGTCCAGCGGCTATGTTGACGCCGTCGCCGCCCTTTCACCGCCCGTCGTTTGGGCCTGCCTGGCGGTCTGGCGGTTATCTTGGCGGCGCCGACCCCCCGCCTCGTCGCCTCGTCGCCGCCCGTCGTCTGGGCCTGCCTGGTGGTCTGGCGGCTATGTTGCCGCCGTCGCCCCCACGTCGCCGCCTCGTCGCCGCCAGTCGCATGGGCCTGTCTGGCGGCGTGGCGGTTATGTGAAAACAATCAGCGCCATGGGAAATGATGGGTGGGAGGGGTAGGACGTCAAATATAGCGTTAGCGCACCTAGCTTGCCCTCCCCCCTCTTCGTCAACCATCTCTCTTCTCCTCTCCTCCTCCTATTCGTCCTCCCTCCTCCCTTCCCCTCCCCCTCTTTGTGCTCCCTCCTCCCCTCTCCCTCCCCCTTTTCGTCCTTCCTCCATCCTCTCTCCTTCCCCCGTTTCGTCTTCCTCCCCCTCCCCTTCCCACTGTTTCTCCCGACCGCCCGCCCTCGCCATTGCCCCGCCGCCGCAGGTCGGCGGCCGCGGGACGTATTGGGACAGCGAGAGGCTATTCTTCATGTACTACCAGAAGCTTGAGCACCGCTGGGCCATCAGCCTTCAGGCCCAGGCGCTGTTCCTCGGTCTCACCCTCCTCCTCGTCCCGCCTGCTCCCTGGCAATTACATGCCCCTCCCAGAGATCCCAGAGTACCAGAAGCCCGTGACACTCTACACCCCTGAATCCTCCCGTCTCTTTCCGTCTGCTGCTGTTGTTCCTCGTCTTCCATGGCCACCATGGGACCCAGCTTTCAAACACGACAGAATCCGTTTCAACATGCCCCCCCCCCCCCATTCCTGCTCCGTGTCTTTCTCCACGCAGCTCCTAGGAACCATCCAAAGGGGCCTAAGGCGCAACCTCCCCCAAAGACCTCCATCCGCCCATCCCTTTCTTCTTTCTCATCTTCCTCCTCTTCCTTACGCGAAGACCCCAGAGCCCCCTCTGGTGCCCCCGTAGACGCCTTAAACACCCTATCGCGATTTCCCTCCTCACCCCATCCTGCCTTCTCCCCCTCCTTCCTTCCCCCTCTCGGAGCCCCCTTTGAGGCCCCAAACCTTACAACCGTGGCCCGCCTCCTCCACCCCCAGTGTGCACGCGGCATACCATACATTGAAAGGAAAGGGACGCAAGCTCTGATATTTCGCATGTTACCATTGTCCCCCATGTCTTCTACATGTCACCCCTGCCACCCGCAATTCCGGTTGATAGCGGAGCTGGTGTCAGCCAGCCCTAGCACCGATCCGCGGACTGCGATGTGGACGCGCATTCGTCTCCTCCCAAGTCTTCAACGACGTCACCGTCCAGTTCTTGAGCCGTTCGTGCTTATGGATAGTCGGCAAACCCACAAGCAAGTCGCCCCGGACACTCAGAGGCACTACGGGGCCAACGCCAGTCCGTGTGAGTCCGTGTGAAGGCTTCGCTGCGAGGTCATCTGCAGTTGTTGGCTACGTGCAAGTGGGCATCCTCCCGCGGGAGCGCCACGACGCCCCCCGGTCACTTCGCAGCCGTCCAGTACTGGCCGCGGAGCGCCGTCTCTTGCGCTCGGCCCCATGACTTTTCCACTGTTTGGTTTCTGGGCGCACTCACGCTGGCCTCCATTTTGGTGAGCACGCTGCGCACCTCGAGTGACGCACTGTTGGTTAATGTACCTGCTTCACCGCCTTTAGCACCGACTCAGGGTCACAGCACCGCTACGGCTGTCCCACGCGTTGAGGTGGCGTCCGTCCCGGTGCAAGCCAGATCCTCAAGGTGCTTGCGCAGCACCGTTCGTGGCGGAGTCTCTCCGAGGAGGCACGACAGCCTGGTGCCTGACGTCGCTGATGAATTTTGGCGTCCCGACTTTGGACCGCAGCTGGCCAGATACGCGCTCGGTGAGTGCTGCAGACACCGCGTCCAGTTGCAGCCAGCACGACGGCCACGCCACGCCCATTGCTCATTGGCTTTGTCACGTCGTCTTCACCTTAAACCAGTTCGGCAACTGCGAGTTGCCGCACTTATTATTCAATCGGTTTGTCCTCGGGGCGAACTTCGACGTCGACTTCGTTACCGTCAGCACCGACCCCCTTCCAGGATGAGGCTTTCAGGGATGCCGCTGGCACATTTTGTTGCTGTGCCGCGCACTACCTGGACGCTTCGTCGCAACTGGCGGCCGCGGCCTCGACCGCCTGCTGGCTCCACCGCTGGCGCGCTGCCCGCTCACCCAGTCAACAAGGTAGCGGCGTCGAGTGCGATTTCTTGGAAAGTCATGGCAGAGCACCGCCGTTCGCTTGACAGCAAGACCTGTTGCCCCACGCTCTGCCGCAGGACTGAGAAGTGCGCGCGGCTGCCCCGTCAGCGGCCGGCGCCTCAGCGCTCCTGGCCCGCTGGCGGGGAGCACGCCTGCGCGTTGTCAGTGCACGGCGGCGCGGGCCTCGCGGCGCGCGCCACCAACGCGCGCCCTCGCGCTGCTCAGCGCGCCCGGGACATCGCGCATGCCCGGCGCTGCAGCTGCGCAAGCACGGCGCGCGTTTGCCTTGGCACCCCCATGCCCTGCGCGACGTGCGCAGGGGCACGTTTTGCGCCGAGCGGTGCCAGCGCGCGCGCAGCGCGGCGCCCGCGCGCGCCTCGCGGCGCACGCTGTGCGCCGGAGCGCACGCGGGGTGCAGAGGCATGCCGCGCTCGCGCCACGCCGCGCGCTGCGCTACGCACGCCGGGGCAATGTCCTGCCCAGCCGCGCGCCTTCGCGCCCCCAAGCTGGCGCATTTTCGAGCGCACCTACGCTGGGCCTTGGTTGTCTCCAGCCGCCTCTCCGAGCGCCTGCTGGCCCCGACGTCGGCCACCCCCAAACCGCGCTCATGCTACAACTGGCTAGGTCACGGAACGCAGCTTATAGTAAGACCTGATGCGGGCTGGGTCAGCTGGCAAGCGATTCCAGCCAGTGTGCTCGTTTGCCATACTGCACGGCTTCATTCCCACGTCTACCACAATCCACCTACCCAGCCACATGACTGCCTAAGTGAATGGGAACAGTTGAGGCTCATGCCAGCCGACGTGGGCAGTGCCACCTCGCTGCGCGCCGCGTCTCAGCTGTGCGCCCACCATCCGGCGCGATCTGCCTGCAGCGCGCCACCTGCTCCGGGCCCCGTACCCCGCTGTCGCGCGCTGGGCCGCTGCCTGGCGGAGGGAGCGCCCCCGTTGAAGCCCCCTCGCCTGGGGCGCGCCTCATCGGTCCGCGCTCCGCGCCGCTCATCTGGTGCCGGATCGCGGCCGGCGCCCGCAGCGGGGCCGGCGCCCGACAATCCGCGGGACCGAGCTCCACAGAGGTCTCTGCCTCCTTTCCGACGGGCCGCCAGGCCCGCGCAGAGCCGAGCGGGGTGCGCTCGCCCTGTGGACTCGAGCGCATTGGTCTGCAACTGACAGAGGCGTCCATGATATTCGCTGGGGCGCCCGCAACGCGCGCAGTCAGTTCCACTGGGCGTCGCGCGGAGTTAGTTGCCGCATCTGTCGCCGGACCGGGCTGGCATCGCGCGCGTTTGCAGGCTATGCCGACGACCTCGTTCTCGACCGATGACTTCGTCGCCGTGTTATTTTGCACGTTTGCGCCGACGTCCTGCTTCCGCTCCGTCGACGCGCAGTGCGTCGCGTTCAGCCTGGTATATTTGTTTCCGCGCTCGCTGTCTACGGCTGCGAGTGCGCGACTCCTCTGCCGTTCCTGGGCCGGCGGGCAGGCGCGCCGGGCGCGGCCGCGCGCCGAGCCGCGGCGCCCCGCGGCAGGGCTGCGGTGGGCGGACAAAAAGTGTCCACACTTGTCGCGCTAAGACAACTCGTCGTCATATCACGTCGAACGAATATGTATACCCCCCTTTCCCCCAACTCAAAGTTGGCGGGGTTAGGCGGCAGGCCGCGCGCCAGGGGCAAAATGTGGACACTTCAACTCTGGGCTTTGGGGGGGGGGGGTGCGAGGCAAGTGCGTCATGCTGTTGCGGTTGTTATCACGTCGCAGTGTCTTGCCGCCCTGGGTGTGGGCACTTTTTGTCCGGGCACCGCGGCGCGCGCGTTTGCGCGCGGCTATAGTTCGGGCTGCGCGCGCGGGCGCGCCAGCGCCCCCGCGCCCGCGGTCGCTCGCCGCGCGCTGCGCGGCGCCCGAGGACTTGCTGCCCATCCTGCGCTCTCTTCCACCGCGCCTCAGACTGCGGGGCGCCTGCCGCCGCGGGGCAAGCTGGGGGGCGAGGGGGGCGGGGCGAGTCGGAGAGCGCAGAGGGCGCGGCGCGCCGGCGGCGAGGGGGGCGACGCGTGGCAGGGGGCGAGGAGAACGGTCACAGCAAGGAAACGAACACGAGGAGCTTGCTTCGGAAGGGGCCAACGCGCGCAGGGACGGCGAGGCTGCGCCGCCGCGCGGCTCGCACAGATCTGGCCAATTCTGCATGCGATCAGCCTTCCCCTCCTCGCGCGCTTCAAACGCCCCCTTCATCCCAGCGCCTCCCGCAGAGGCGGCTGCCCGCCACATGTTTATTTCGCCGCGGCCAGCGCCCGCGGGCAGCCGCGACCTCCGCGCGCAGTCGCCAAGCAGCGGGGGCATTGCAAAGCGCCGCTGCTTTGGCCTCCAGTCGAGCGCAGTGCGCTTGCTGCTGCGCGCTGAAACCATCATCCGCAGTTCTGCTATCCCGGCGAGGCGCAACGCGCTTGCTGGCGCGCGCGGCGACTGAGGACAGTTCCTGGCCAACAGCCGCAAACGCGATATCTGTGGCCCATGTGTCCAGATGCGGGCCAGGCCATCCACCGGTCAAATCCAACGTCGCCACCGCGTATCCACGCTCAGGTCTACTACGACAACGCGCACAGGATCGACTGCCAGCTGAACTCAGAAGCAGCGCCTAGCACCGTCTACGGCCCCATTCACCACGCTGCGACCACAGCCTGGGCGGGGCCACCAGCCTGGGCGGGGCCACGTCAGGCCTGCCGGCCCGCTGCCCGCGGCCGCGCACCGCGGCGAGGAGAACGCCGACGCGCTCATCATCAGTATTGGCCCGTTGCTGCCAACAGGCCGTCCAGCAGGGCCGCCATGGCGCGCGCGTAAGGCAAGTCGCGCCGGCACGCGGCAACCGCGCGTTGCCGTGGTGGCGCGCGCGCGCGTTCAACAGTGCAGTCGTTGGCACGTCGCATCGCGCGCCGCGCGACCCATGGCGGTTACCATCCTCAGCGGCGCCGCAAGTGGCACGCCGCAGGTGTAGCGTGCGCTCCGCCGTCTTGCGACCCACTCAGCCTTGGGGCCACAGGAGGGTCGAAGTGCGTCTGATATGCGCGCGCGCACTGGCGCAATGGCCCGTCCCGAGGCGAGTGCTCGCGGCGCTGAGGCGAAAGCTCCACTTTGAAAACCAGCCGCCCTTCTTCCGAGATGCTAAGCCGAACTGTTAACACGCATGTCCGCGGCGCTAAAGCGAGAGTTCCATGTTGAAAACGACTTGCCCTTCCATCAGTGAAGCTGTTGAAATTGTTGTAGGACGAATGTGCGCGGCGCTGAGGCGTGAACCACATTTCGAAAAAGGAACCGCCCCTATCGTTGAAAAGCGGGCGAACTTGTCAAACGAATGTTCGTGGCGCCGATGCGGGAGCCTCATGTCGAAAACGGCCCACCGCCATCAGTGAAAATGCTGCAGCCGTTCAGACGGATGTGTACGGCGTTACGACGAATGCCACATGTTGGGAAGGAGCGGGCCCTCATTTTGGAACTTGGTGTGAATTTGTAAGTCGAGTGTTCGTGTCGCCTAGTCGAGAGCCCAATGTTGTACCCCCCCTGCTCATTCTTTGAAGTGGGTGCCATATCTTAAGAAAAAGTGCGCGGCGGCACGGCGATATACACATCTTGAGCACTGCCCGTTGCAAACGTTTGGACGAATGCGCGCGGTTCTAAGGCGATAGCTCCAACTTGAAACGGTCCTCCCTCCATCCGTGAAGGTGTAACACAATTCAACCGTCATAATCATAGGTGGTGAACAAATCTCAGGCGGAACGCTGGGCCCGCCATACCGACACGTCTGGGAGTGCGACAAAGGGAACCGTTTCATGAGGCGCATTGGGGTTGAGCGTGGGGATGAGATGGTAGAGGAGGAAGAGGACCATGTAAGCCCAAGATTCATCAACGATATTGAAAGACACCCTCCTGTCAAGATTTCTGTTCACTGGCCCTTTTCAGGGGGTCATTTCCACTTAGCGAGTTGCCCCGTTGGGGGACAACCGTGTGAGCATGGTGAGGCGTTCCAATACACCAATCCCAGGATTCCAACGCCACGAATTAACACGATTGTTACGTACTGTCGATCCTGAGCCGTGCAAGAACACCATTCCGGGGACTTCAACACCGCGAATCAACCGAACTCTGGCGCCCTGACAATCCTGAGTCGTTCTAAAACATTGTATCTGGTACGCCAACCATGAGACCCAATGGACCTTCTGCAGATGGTGGGAACGGATATTCACGGCGCGAAGGCGGCAACAGCATGTTGAAAAGGAACCTCTTCCAATCCCGGAAGCTCCTGAGCAAATTGTTCACACGAGTGCGCGCGGCGATGGGGCGAGAGCCCCACACGTTGACAGCGACCCGCCCCCGATCCGTGAAGCTGCTGCGAGGGCTTGCAGCCAGTGTGCGCGGCGCCGGAGCGAGAGCCACGTCTTGAAAACTGCCCGCCCTCAATCCGTGAATCTCTTGGTTTGTTCTGTTCCCGTGCGCGCGGCGCGAAGGCGAAAACCACATGTTGAGCCCGACCCGCCCTCAATACGTGAAGACCTTGCTTTTCATACTACATCTTGTATGTAAGAAAGAATGTGCGCGGCGCTAAGGCGGCAGCCACATTTTGAAAACGGCCCGCCCTCAATACGTGAAGGCTTTGCTTTTTCTACTGCATCTTGTATGTAAGAAAGAACGTGCGCCGCGCTCAGGCGGCAGCCACATTTTGAAAACGCCCCGCCCTCCATCCGCGAAGGTGTTCCAGGTGCTCAAAGCGAGTGGGCGCTGCGCTCGGGCGAGAGCAGCCTTTCGAAAACCACCCGCCCTCAATCCGTGAAACGCTTGTAAATTTGTTCAACGAGTGTGCGCGTCGCTGACGCGGGAGCTATATTTTGGAAGCGACCCGCCCTCCATGTGTGAAGCTGTTGCCGTTGTGAAGCATCAGGGTCATTGAGGGGCGAGGAATTCTCAGGCGAAACGCCCGGCCCGCCCTTTCGACCAGCCTCGGGGTGCGACAGGGAGGAGTCATCTATAAGGAAAACAATGGAGGAGGAGGAGGAGGAGGAGGAGGAGGAGAAAGGGGAGGAGGAGGAGGAGGAAGAGGAGGAGGAGGAGGAGGAATAGGAGGGGGATGGGAGTGGTCTTGACGAAACGAAGCCTGGGCAGGACTGGGCGCCGGCGCCGCGGCAGCACACTGAACGGGACCGCCGGCGGGGCGCGCAGGCCGGCTCTCGGACGCCCCAGCCCGCCCTCTCCCGCGGTCAGGGGGAGGACATGCTCGGGAAGGCCCAGCGCGGCGAGATGCACGGCTGGGCGTTTCAGGCCGGGGGGCTTCCGCCCCGCCCTGCCTCGAGGGATGGGAGCGAGGAGGCGAACGGACGAGCGGGGGGGTATGGAGATGGTGGGAGCGAGAAGAGAACAGGGATGAGGAACAGAGCGAAACAGAGAGCGAGAGAGAAACAAACAACAAAAAGAGGTGGATTTAAGTATGAGCCCCTGCGCGTGTAAGTACAACTTTACATGTATGTATATATATATATATATATGTATATACATATATAGTCATATATGCATGTGCTTATACGTGCATATATACATATATATGCATGTATATATACATATACATCTCAGGCCCGATTACTCACTACACATACATAAAGTATACTGCCATGTGTGCGTGGTTGCACGTGCGCGTACGCCAGCACAGCACCAGGCCGAGACCCTCATGATAGCATATTTGGCGTCTTGCGTGGGGCCGCCCGCTCATAGAATTTCTCTCAGAGCTGTCCAGGCATTGTCAGTCAATCGGTAGGCCGAGATGCAAGTGCGTAGTTAAGCACATGCACTTGCACTTAGTCTGTTGCGCCCACTGAATCGGACATGTCGTGCCCCCCGGGACCCAACATTCTGGAACGTTTCGGTGGCAATATGATCGGTCACCGCGCAATCATGTTGGAGGGCTCAGGCTGCGGCTTGATGCACACCCCTGTCCCACTCTGCTTCTAGGGGGGTTCTGGTGCGGCTCGACGCTTGCCCCACCTCCGCTCTTCTTTTGGGGTTCGGGGTGTGGCTTCTTGCTTGCCCCTGTTTCGCATGGCTGTCTCAGTCGCGTGGCCGGCAGCATTTCCCAACCATCCTGCCGTGTCTGGCCCTCGTTTCGCAAAAACAGCGCCCCGCGTTCCCTCCTCCTTCCTTCCTCCTCCCCCTCCTCCCTCCTCCCATCCCTGCTTCTGCCCTACACACTCGCTGGCAATTTCGGCACACCCCTCACACGTTTCGTGGCCCCATAGGGAGCTCCACCGAGGGCCCCAGTGGCTGCGCTCGCATGGCACCATCGCGCCTGTTTCGGCACACCCCTCGCACCTTTCGCGGCCCTATAGGGAGCTCCACCGAGGACCACAGTGGCTGCGCTCGCATGGCACCACCGCGCCCATTTCGGCACACCCCTCACACGCTTCGCGGCCCCATAGGGAGCTCAACCGAGGGCCCCAGTGCCTACGTTCACCTGGCATTACCGCGCCCATTTCGACACACCCCTCGCATTTTTCGTGGCCCCATAGGGAGCTCCACCGAGGGCCCCAGTGGCTGCGCTCGCGTGGCACCACCACTCCCATTTCGGCACACTCCTCACACGTTTCGTGGCCCCGATAGGGAGCTCCACCGAGGGCCCCAGTGGCTGCGCTCGCATGGCACCATCGCGCCCATTTCGGCACACCCCTCACCCGTTAAGTGGCCACATAGGGAGCTCCACCGAGGGCCCCAGTGGCTGCGCTCGCCTGGCATTACCGCGCCTATTTCGGCACACGCCTCACACGCTTCGTGGCCCCATAGGGAGCTCCACCGAGGGCCCCAGTGGCTGCGCTCGCATGGCACCATCGCGCCTATTTCGGCACACCCCTCACACGTCTCGTGGCCCCATAGGGAGCTCCACCGAGGGCCCCAGTGGCTGCGCTCGCATGGCGCCACCGCGCCCACTTCGGCACACCCCTCACACGTTAAGTGGCCCCATAGGGAGCTCCACCGAGGGCCCCAGTGGCTGCGCTCGCCTGGCATTACCGCGCCTATTTTGGCACACCCCTCACACGTCTCGTGGCCCCATAGGGAGCTCCTCGAGGGCCCCAGTGGCTGCGCTCGCCTGGCACCATCGCGCCTATTTCGGCACACCCCTCACACGCTTCGTGGCCCCATAGGGAGCTCCACCGAGCGCCCCAGTGGCTGCGCTCGCATGGCGCCACCGCGCCCACTTCGGCACACCCCTCACACGTTAAGTGGCCCCATAGGGAGCTCCACCGAGGGCCCCAGTGGCTGCGCTCGCATGGCACCACCCCGCCCATTTCGGCACACCCCTCACACGATTCGTGGCTTTATTGGAAGCTCCACCGAGGGCCCCAGTGGCTGCGCTCGCATGGCACCACCGCGCCTATTTCGGCACACCCCTCGCACGCTTCGTGGCCCCATGGGGAGCTCCACCAAGGGCCCCAGTGGCTGCGCTCGAATGGCGCCACCGCGCCCACTTCGGCACACCCCTCACACGTTAAGTGGCCCCATAGGGAGCTCCACCGAGGGCCCCAGTGGCTGCGCTCGCATGGCGCCACCGCGCCCACTTCGGCACACCCCTCACACGTCTCGTGGCCCCATAGGGAGCTCCTCGAGGGCCCCAGTGGCTGCGCTCGCCTGGCATTACCGCGCCTATTTTGGCACACCCCTTACACGTCTCGTGGCCCCATAGGGAGCTCCGCCGAGCGCCCCAGTGGCTGCGCTCGCATGGCATCATCGCGCCTATTTCGGCACACCCCTCACACGTTTCGTGGCCCCATAGGGAGCTCCACCGAGCGCCCCAGTGGCTGCGCTCGCATGGCGCCACCGCGCCCACTTCGGCACACCCCTCACACGTTTCGTGGCCCCATAGGGAGCTCCACCGAGGGCCCCAGTGGCTGCGCTCGCATGGCACCACCGCGCCCATTTCGGCACACCCCTCACACGATTCGTGGCTTTATTGGAAGCTCCACCGAGGGCCCCAGTGGCTGCGCTCGCATGGCACCACCGCGCCTATTTCGGCACACCCCTCGCACGCTTCGTGGCCCCATAAGGAGCTCCACCGAGGGCCCCAGTGTCTGCGCTCGAATGGCGCCACCGCGCCTATTTCGGCACACCCCTCACACGTTACGTGGCGCGACGGCGACGGGCGGCGACGGCGCGGGGCTGGAGGGCCTGCGTTTTATGACATCTGTTGCGTGCTGCTGGTTTTGATTTGCCGTCGGGCGCTGTCCTCGATGCACTGGCACCTGCAGCGCCAGGAGGCGCCGGGACAGTCAGCTGCGCGAGTCGATTCGCTAACTCCCACTTACCCTCGCCCCCTGTTTTGTCCGACCCGAGACATCATGGCCGAGGCCACGGGGCCTCGCAGGTCCTGTGGCGCACCTAGGGGGGAAGGGCAGGGACCAGGCCTCCTCTCCAGTCTCGGAGAGAGTCACGGCGGGACTGGGGCGCTGGAGGCACATGGCTGGGCTGGCCAGGGCGAGTGCTGATTCAGGAGGAATGGGATGGAAGGGGGGGGGAGGGGGATGGAGGGGGGGGGAGGAGGGGGAGGAAGAAAAGGGGTTGGCTCCCTCGCCCTTCCATGACATCTGGGCATAGCTAGGCTCCAAACATCGCGTGAGCATGACGGGCGCTCTTGCCTCGCTTCGGTCCCCAGGCCCCCCGCGGACCGACCTGCCCCGCAGACTCCCGCACACAGAGGTGTGGCCTCGAGCTCTAGCGGTGCTTCTGCACAGCGTCGTAACTTGCAGTGCGTCAAAGCTCTCGGTCTCTGTGGTTCTCCTCCTCTTCCTCCTCCTCTTCCTCCTCCTCCTCCTCCTCCTCCTCCTTCCGTAGCCATTTTGGCTCAAGCGGTGGTCAGCCAGCTTTCCTTGGCCTCGCCCCCCCCCGCTGGACCGACCCCCGCGGCCATGTCGGGCGAGGAGCCGCCGCCCTGCACCGCGGAGGCCGCGCCGATGCTGCCCGAGCGGCCGGCCAGCGCGCCGGCGCCCGGGCGCCGGCGCCTGGGCGCGGTGGGTGCGCTCGGCGTCGTGCTCGTGGCTGCCGTGGTCGTGCTGGCGTATCACGGGCCTCCCGGCATGTCGGGCGGCCGCGTCGGAGGCGCCGTGTCCATGGCGGAGAAGAGCAAGGGGGGCGGCAAGGCCAAGCTGCCCGGGAACGTCGAGTCTCCGTGCAGCTCGAAAGACCTGACGTCCAACTGCAAAGTGCTGATGGAGGATGTGGCCGAGGTCGCGGGGGCGGACGCTGACTGGCAGAGCGAGGTGAAGCGGCTGGAGAGCCAGGCGGAGGCCCAGAAAAAGGAGGCGGAGAAGGAGATGGAGGCGGCCAAGGCCGAGGAGGAGAATGCGCAGAAGAAGGTCGATGCCGCCGGGGCCGTCAAGGACGACGCGGCCGCAAGGCTGAAGGCCGCGAAGGACCTCGCCGAGCAGGCCGCCAGCATGCGCGCGCAGGCGAAGCAGGCCCTCAAGGACGCGGACAATCTGGAGAAGGGCGCCAAGGAGGCGACCAAGGAGGCTGCGAGCCTGGAGGAGCAGGCCAAGGGCAGGGAAGCGGAGGCCAGCGAGATCGAGAAAAAGGCGGCGCAGCTCAAGAAGAAGGCCGACGTCGAGTGGAAGAAGGCCGACGACGTTAAGGAAAAGGCCAGGAAGGAGTTGGAAAAGCACCGCGAGTGCTTGGACCTGCCTGGCATCCGGCTGAGCAAGGGCGAGAACGAGATCATGGCCGCCGAGGGGGACGACGCCATCTGGAACGCCGAGATCTGCCGGCACCGCTGCCTGGAGAACACCGAGTGCCAGCAGATGGTCTGGGTGGGCTGGAAGAACGGCTGCTACCTGTACGGAGACCGCGTGGCCGACGCGGTGGAGTTCAAGGACACCTTCAACTCCTCCTACTGCGGCTTCCGGAGCGAGGAGGACGCGCTCAAAGAGATCCTCGACACGACGTACAAGCAGGTGCCCTACAACCCCCCGGTCAAGGAGTGCTCCTGGTCGGGGGAGGACTGCGCCGCTACCTACTGCTGCAACGACGTGTCGTGCGACAAGGACTTCTCCAACTGCAGGGGCTACACGTGCTACAAGCAGGACGAGTACTTCGCCGGTTGCCTGCTGGACCCCTCCCCGGACGCAGGCTGGAGCAACGAGATCATCGGCGGGCCGCGCGAGACTCGCGAGGTCCAGCCGGCGGATGAGGGCGTCAAGGTTCAGGGAACGAGTTTGTTCTGTTTCAGCGTGATCAACTGGGACGCGCCAGCGCCGAAGCCCTTCTGGGCGACCGAGAGGGAGCTGGCGACCCACATTAAGGATCATCAGCTGAGCATCTTCCAGTGCGACGAGGGGGACTTCTTCAGCGGGTACCAGACGCCCAAGGCGGAGTGGGGCTCCTTCTCCAACATCGACGCCTTCGTGGCGGTCTGGGGCGACGTGAAGAACGACGGCAGGTGGATGAATCATGACTGGATTGTCAAGGTGGACGCGGACGCGGTATTCTTCCCAAACCGCCTGAAGGACCACCTCACCAAGCTCAGGCCGCCGAAGAACTCCAGGGTGTACATCAAGAACGTGAACTACCAGTTCCAGTTCATGGGGGCACTCGAGGTGATTTCCAAGGAGGGCCTGGAACTCTATTTCGAGAAGGGCTCGACGTGTATCCGCGGCGAGCACGACGGGGGGGAGGACTTCTTCATGAAGGGTTGCCTGGACGCGATCGGAGTTGACCACATGGTAGACTTCGAGTTGCTGCAGGACAAATACTGCCTCACATGCGAGGACCGCGACAACGGTTGTACTGACGGCTGGCACGTGGCGTATCACTTCCACAAGAAGATGATCTCTTGGGACTGGTGCTACAACCAGGCGGTGTGTGGCGACAAGGCTGGGTCGTGCGACGAGGGCCTCAAGGTGGAGTACGTGATGCCCGACGCCTGAGCGATGGTGTTGCTCGTCCCTGCCTCTTTTCGAGCGCGAAGAGCTCGCGACGCAGCTTGGACCATCGGCCACCGCGGAGGGACCGCTCCATCACCCTCGCCGCGCATGCCCGCGGGCCTGCTTCTCGACCCCCTTCCTCATGCTCCTCCCCAGATGCTCGAGATTCTCGCCCGCCAGCCTGGGCCAGGCAGGGGCGGCCCATGTGGCCGCGCCGCAGGAGGGCTCTCCCCTCCCTCCGACATATGTCGCAGGGGCGGCCGCGGCGCCGCAAAGCCGGCTCGCGCGGCCAGCTTGCGGGGGGGAGATCGGAGAGCCTCCCCACCAATGGCAGGATCGACGTCGTCGCCGCCGCCGCCGCCGCTGTCGCAGCTGATGCCGTCATCGCCGCTGCTCCCGCTGCCGTTCGTCGTCGTTGTTGCCGTCGCCGCTGTGAGCCGAATTCGGAACGGGGGCCCCCCTTAGAGAGAATTCGCCTGGCGCCGGATGCGCGCACAGAGCGCTTGCCGCTGGCGCGGCGGTCGGATGCGGCGTCCGGTACCACACCTCTTGCGTCGGGTCGCCGGGGAGGACTTGTGATTCGCGCCTCCCATGCCAGAGCGACGACGGGAGTGGTTGTGATCCGAATTAAGTGGTCGACGGCTCCGTGCGAGCGCGGGGTCCCCTTGCTGGACGCCGGAGCCGCAGGCTGGATTGTAGTCTTCCGCGATTCGAGCGGTCCAAAGCACGGCTTGCTTGCGATCGTTTCTGCTGCACTCTCTCTCTCTCAGCTCGTCCGCCAGCCCCTCGTGTCTTCTACCGCGTCGTGCACGTTGCTTTCGAGGTTCGGCCGTGCCGTATTTCATGCCGCGCCGTAGATTGCAGTGAGAGAATCGTTCTCCTCCTCCTCCTCCTCCTCCTCCTCCGCCTCCTCCTCCTCCCCCTCCGCCTCCCCCTCCGCCTCCCCCTCCTCTTCCCCCTCCACATACCCCTCCCCCTCCTCCTCCGCCTCCTCCTCCTCCTCCTCCTCCGCCTCCTCCTCCTCCTCCTCCGCCTCCTCCTCCTCCTCCTCCTTCTCCTCCTCCTCCTCCTCCTCCTCCTCCTCCTCCTCCTCCTCCTCTCCTCCTCCTCCTCCTCCTCCTCCCCTCCCCCCCTCCTCCTCCCCTCCGCCTCCCCCCCTCCTCCTCCTCCGCCGACTCCGCCCTCTCACCTTCCTCCTCTCCTCCTCCCCCTCCTCCTCCCTCCTCCTCCTCCTCTCCTCCTCCTCCTCCTCCCCCTCCTCCTCCTCCTCCTCCTCCTCCCCTCCTCCCCCTCCTCCTCCTCCTCCTCCTCCTCCCCCTCCCCCTCCCCCTCCTCCCCTCCTCCTCCTCCTCCCTCCTCCTCCTCCTTCTCCTCCTCTTCCTCCTCCTCCTCCTGCTCCTCCCTCCTCTCATCCTCCTCCTCCTCCTCCTCCTCCTCCTCTCCTCCTCCTCCTCCTCCTCCTCCTCCTCCTCCTCCTCCTCCTCCTCCTCCTCCTCCTCTCTTCCGACAAGGGTCGCTGCGCAAAAAGCACAGCAAACGGTCTGGGCCCAGACACCCGTGCACCGAGGGGGGGGAGCCCCGCGGGGTCTGTGCGAGTCCTGCCCTCGCCGGGGCCCATCCACCGCGTGCCCCCGCCGCGAGGTCGACAAGCAGGAGCAGACGTGGCACGAGTTCACGGACATAGGCTGGGCGCCCGTGAGGATTGTCATGAAGACCTTCCAGTCGGACCACAGGCCGCCCGCCGCCGCCAGCAGCGCCACCGGCCCTGCTGCCAAGGCAAGGCAAGGCGAGCAAAGGCGGGTGGCAGTGGAGCAGTGGAAGGAATGAGGGGCCGGGATGGGGGAGGAGGGGAGCTGGGAGGGTGTGGGGGGGCGGGGGGACGGAGAGAGGGCAGCAGGAAGGGGAGGGACAGGCTGAACGGGGAAACGGAGGGCAAGGGGGGGAGTGGGGCGAGGGGGCAATCCGAGGGATGAGCGGGGAAGCGCCCGCCTTCTCCCCCTTCCTCCCTCCCCTCCCTGGCCGCCCTCCCACCCCAAAGACGGCGAGCACCCATGCGCAGCGGCATTGCAAGCCCTCCTTTCCAGTGCAAACGCTTGTGAGCTGTAGCCGTGTTCATCAAGCGTGATTGAATGGCCGATGCAACGCTCGGTCAACCAACCTCCGCAAGCCGTCTAGAATTTTCCCTGCCCCCTCCTCCTCTCTCGGCCCCCCCTCTGGCGGACACCGATGGAGGAGGAGAGAAATGAGGGGGGGATTGGGGGAGGAGCTGTTTTGAACTGTGTCGTTTGCCCCCAGGCTCTTTCAGCACGTGCACCCAGGGTGAAGGGCAACCACCCCGCCGACGACACCGAAGCCCCGTCGTCGAGATGGCCACCCAACACCCCATCCGTGCACGCACCTCCAGAGGACGGGGAGTACTATCGTCAGGCTTCGTCCAGCGGACCGTCCCGCTGCACAGCACAGCGCCGCCGCGGAAGAGGGGAGGAGGAGGAGGAGGAGGAGGAGGAGGAGGAGGAGGAGGAGGAGGAGGAGGAGGGGGAGGAGGGGGAGGAGGAGGAGGAGAGGAGGAGGAGGAGGAGGAGGAGGAGGAGGAGGGGGAGGAGGAGGAGGAGCATCCCTTTTCCTTATGAGTGACTTCCCGCTGCCGCAACCCCAGACGTGTCGATAGGGTGTGCCGGGCATTTCGCCTGAGACTTCGCCATCTCTGACCCTGAAGCTTGCAATTGGCAACAGCTTCCCGGGTGGAGGGCGGGTGGTTTTCAAAATGTGGCTCTCGCTTGAGCACTGCGCGCATTCGGCTTAAAAGTGTCAGCGGTTTTGAGAACTGGTGCAATTGAAATCCGGAGTGGGGGATCTGGCAAGATTTAGGGCTGGCGGGAAGCAGCAGTCATTTTGTGTCGCGGTGTTGAACTCCCAGGAAAGATGTGCTGGCACGATTTAGGATTGCCAGGTCCGCAACAGCACGTTGATTCGCGGCGCTGAAGTTCAAGAAACGCTGTGTTGGTACGATTGAAGACTCTCAGAGGGCTTTTTACAGCACTGACATGCCATTTCCCGCCATGAACATATATTTGTTCCAGGGAACCATGAAGAGGGCTTTTGGAGGGAGAGTTGATTGCAAACACCGTTGATGCGTATTGGGTTTGCACTGGTCTTCCTCTTCCTCCCCCTCCTCCTCCCCCTCCTCCTCCTCTTCCTCCTCCTCCTCCTCCTCCTCCCCATCCTCCTCTTCCTCCTCCTCCTCAGCCGTTTCGGCTCAGGCAGTTGTCTGAGCTTGCAGCAGCATGCCTCTTCGAAACGGCCAAGTGCTGTTGCGGGCCTCGCCCTTTTTCGCACGCCCTGTCGGGCACCAGTTTGCAGTTGCGCTCCTGCGGGGGCATCCATGGATGGGCCAGTCCTCGCTGGCCCCAGACTCCCCTATTGGACGTGTACGGGCTGCGGCCTCAACACCAACTGTGCGTCGAGAGTCGAGTGCAGGTGCGGACGTGCCGGCCCGCCTGCGGTGGCCGCGGCTGCCAAACGGAACACGAAGAAGGGCATCAACGGTGGCGGTGGTGGTCAGTCTTCTCCTGGTGGGCCTCGCGGTCTTGGAGGAGGCGGCAAGAAGCAACAAAACCTACAGAAGCAGCTCGATGCCCTCACCAAGCGCTACGAGCAGTTGGTCAAATCCACCCAGTCCACCCAGTCAACCACGACAGCTGGCGGCGGCGAGCCAGCTAAAGTGGACAGCAAAGAAAAAGAAGTACGTGCGAAGATACAGAGTCTTAAGACCGCCATCGATGCGGTCGATAAGATCGGAGACGAAGGTTCGGCGGCCGAGGTTGCACTCGAGGAGCAGCTGGTCACCGCCAAGAAGGAGTTGGCATCGCTCAAGCCAGCGCTTACCCAGCACACTAACACGGGGCACAAGCTGGCACGGGCGGAAGCCAAGAAGGCTGAGCTGGTTCAAGATGCAGCAGATCAACAGGCCATCAACACCCAGGCGCAGGAGAAGCTTGACAGCTTGCAGGCGCAGGTGGTGGTGGTGGGCGAGGAGATCCTGGAGCTCAATCGGGAGTTGGTGCGCAACCTTCTGGTCGGATCGAGGCTCCTGTGCTCAACCTGGAGGAGGTGGAGGCGGGTGTGAGAAGGATGAGATCGCCGCCCTCCTCCAGTCCGAGACGTTTCAGCAGTACACACGCTTGTTACAGGCACAGCAGGATCGTGCATCGACGAGACCAGAGACAGCGCCCTCACCGCTCCATTGTGCTACTGCTCCTGTGGGTGGTGATGTGGGCGATGGACAACAACGTGTTGAGTCCAACGGAGATGCTGACACAGATCGTTCCGAGACTCCAGGCGAACAGGTCCCAGCTGGGGACGACGATGTGGACATGGAGGAGTTCTTCTACACGGCCCAGCGGGTCGACAAGAGGGGTTACGTGCAGCAGGTCCAGGCCCGTCTCGCTAAACGTCAGCGGTGCTCCTGATGCAGGAGTGATGAGCCCCGCCAGGTTTGCTAGACGGCCCGCTTTGCCGCGCTGTTGTGGCATGCGACTGTCGAGGCATGGCGCGGTCCAGCCCCCTGCCCCCCCTCCTCGCCTCGACTACGATGTTTCGAGCTTGGGTGGCGGCGGAGAGTGTATCGAGACCTATAACGGCAACTCCTGGAACACTTTGCACGACAGATTGGCGGCCTCTAGTGCGCTCATCTTTTTGGCGCAGGAGGTTGGCTTTTCCGAGGACCTCCTGGGGGAGAAATGTTCGGCCGTGGGCAAACTCGGGTGGAAGATGCTCGTCTCCCCCATCGGTCCTGGGGGCCTCTGGGAGGCCCAAGTGGGGCGTTGCCGTTCTGGTCAGGGCCCATGTGGGCCTGAGGTGGCCCGAAGGAGGGGGCGTCGTCATCCCTGCCCGTGTCATGAAGGTTGTTGTCGATATCCCGTCGTGGCCGCCCCTCGCCATTAGTTGCGCCTATCAGAAGTCGGGATCGGGATTGCGCGAACGCAGCGTTGCTTACCTTGGGGCCATTGGAAAGGCCCTCGAGCAGCAGCATCCGCGCCCCTGTGGAGGCGATTGGAACCTCGACCCTTCCTTCGTCGAAACGTCGGGCGTGGCTCGGAGACTTGGCCCCCTCCTTTTCGCCCCCAAGGAACGCGCGTGCGTCAGCTCGTGTTCGCTTAGCACCATCGATTTCTTTATGTGTAGCACGGCGTTGAGCCGAGCCATCTCTCACGTCCATTGTGACATGCAATGTAGCAGCCGCCCTCATCGCCCAGTGGCCCTGCAGCTCAAGGACCAAGCGATTCGCATGTATCAACTGGTTTACCCCAGATATCCCCGTCTCCCCGCTGAGCTCCCCTGTGGGCCCACCCCCAGACCCCAGGATTGGACGCTCGCTCGGGGCATAGCCGAGAGTGCGGCGCAGGCCGCGTTGGACCAGCCCGTGGGGTTCTCTTGGGGGCTCCTCGCCCAGGCTTGGCGCGTCGTTGTGAATAAGCTGGAGTTGGAGCTCGAATCCTACTTGGGGGTTCCTCTGGCGACTAAGGGCCTCAAGGGTGAATGTCCCGAAGTGAGATGGGTGCCCATTTCCACTTCCCCGAAGAGTTCTTGCACTCAGCTGGTTGATCACGGGTGGGTTTGGTTAGCCCAGCATCTTTCCGAGACCATAGGGGTTGTTTCGCGTCTGTTTGACTCCGTGCGGGATCCGTCGACGGAGCTCGTCAAAGGTGAAGAGCTCTCACAGGACTCGAGCCAGCAGGTGCATCAACTTTTAGTTCAGCCGTGCCCTGGAGAGGGCCTGTCCTCGCGCCTGGGCGCCACGGTGGCGCAGGTGCGCGCGCTCATGCGCAAGTGGCCTCCTACCTCGCTCGAGGCGCGGGTGCAAGATGCGCGAGAGCTGCTGGACTGCCTCGAGGGTGACAGGGTACAGGCCCGGAAGAGCCTCCTGAAGGCGAAGCAGGACTCTTGGGACGGGCTCGGGCCATGCATGGGCTCGCCCAATTGAAACACAAATGGGCGCCGACTGTGGTGCAGACGTCTCCTGGGCAGCACAGCAGTGACCCTCAATCTTTGTTGCGAGCGGAGACTGGGACTTTAGCCAAGCTTTGGCATGCGACATCTCACCCTGCAACGGTTGAGGTGCCAGACCGTGCCCACCTTCCTCGCGCGAGCGCTTCCGACACCAGGAGCGCCAGTGCCAGTTTCTCCCCCCTCACTGCCCAATCCCTGGACGGAATACATCCCAAACACTTGTCGCTTGTGTCGGGCGCGGCCCTGGAAACTTTGGGGGCTCTGTGCCAGGCCGTGGAAAGCTTGGGCTTGTTCCCCAAACAAATGTTTTGGATGCTTTTCCCCCTCCTGGAAAAACCCAAGGGGGGCCTGCGGCCGATCCTTTTGCGCGCTGGCCCCGTCCGAGTTTGGGAACGGCTGAGGAGGCCTGTTCAGTTGCGTCTCAATGACGACCACCCCCGGAGATCCTGGGCCTTTGGACCTGGGCGCAGCGCTGAGGATGCTGCGTGGCACCAGGCGGCCAGAGCGGAGGTCTCGGCTCACTCGAATCAGGTCTCGGGGGGAAAGATTTGGGACGGCGCCAAATATTATGGAAGCTTCGACCTCGAGCTCCTGAAAAAGCGGGCCCTGGATCATGGCTTCCACCCTGTGACCGTCAAGACGACGTATAATTTTTGGAGGGGCCCACGGTTGCTCCGATTATGTGCCCGGTACGGCACCGCTCAGATGTTTGCGGGGTCGGGGTTGCCAGCGGGTGATATTTTCAACGATTTGTTGGTTCGGGTCTACAGCTTAGCTGCGTTTGATCAGTTCACCCTGGAGCACCCCTTGGTTTCGTTATCGTCGTATGTTGATGACGACTCTTTCACGACAGAAGGAGAAAGTGAGGTCGAGGTGCTTGATAGGATGTCCAAGGCTGCTGCGGCCATGTACATCATTTTCCGAGACGGCTCGAAGGTCCAGCTACAGGCGGACAAGCTCACCACGTATGCCAGTTCCCTCTCACTGGCTCGCAAGCTCGGCAGGCTGCTCGGCGGCATGGCCGGCGCGATCACCAACAGCGCGGTCGCGCTAGGGACCGACCTGGCGATGGGACAAACGAGGTCGTCGCGTCATGCTTTATGGAAAGGGAAGCAACTTCTCAAACGCATGTCTAAAAGACACGGCATTTTGAAATGGTATCGCGACCGTTTGCCCCGCCAGAAGGGCAGAATTGGCAAAATCTATGTGTCTGGTGTGGCCCCTGGGGCTACTTTCGGGGCTGCCATTGTCGGCATGGACGATCAGGAGATGAAACAAGCCCAGAGAGTTCTACTTGCGTACAAGCCCCCGTATCACCAGGGCGTTTCGCTTCATGCCAAGTTGGCCTTTTGTGGGGACCCTGCTTGGAGGGCTGGAGTTGCCCCAGCCCTTCAGTGGGCACATATCGTTTGGACTGCCCTCACCTCCCCCTCCACGTCCCACTATACTATAACATTAAAAAGCTGTGCCAGATGTGGAGCATTATTCCTCGGGGTGAGGGGTTGTCTTGGAAGAGCTCTCGAGGGCCCATCCAGAGAATGCATCTCTCGCTCAATAGAATTGTCTGGCAATCTTCTTCTGCTTTGACGTGGGTCGACGATTTCAACAGGGTGGCTCACCTCGGTTTCAACTCATCCGCCCTCGTAGCTCAGTTACTTCAGTTGGGGGCCCAGAGGCATCACGAGAGGGTATTGGCTGAGCTCTCCCCGTCGTTTGTCGGTAGTAGGGTGCGCGCGGAGCCTCTGGTCAAGCTCCCTGGCCCCAATAACAAGAAACTGAGCACGATAGAAAAGTACATGGCTGTCACAGTGTTCTGCTCAGGCGGGTGGACACGCGCACGAGCACGTGCGGCAGGATACTGTTGTGACGGACGATGTCCGTTGTGCGGGCGAGCCGACGGTGTGAAACACCGTGTTTGGGAGTGCGACCATCCAGACGCAGTGCAGGCTCGCCAGGAAGTCACTAATGCCCATCCCACTTGGCTGGCCGAGGCTATTAGCTGTGACGACCGATGTTTCTGGGATGAGCTTAAATGGGATCACCCGGGGGCCCGTATGCCTTGTCCCAGCGACGACCCCAACCCCAAGTTGCATGACCCCTCAGGCAGAGAAATTCAGTGGGATCCCTTGGGCCTTCGAGGCCTCGACGTCTGTATGGATGGGTCGTGCACTCGGCATGTGGTCAGAGAGTTGTCTCGCGCCGCCTTTGCTTGGGTTTTTTTGGACGACGCAGGTGATGTGCGAGCTTTCGCCAAAGGAACGGTTTGGGACGTCCTCCAGCAGACTCCCCAGGCGGCTGAGCACCAGGCGATGGCGGTGCTGCCCATGTTTGTGGAGTACAGCGGTGACAGATACTCTGATTGCGCTACGGTGACCAAGCTGTGTAACACCTCGTCGCATCACCAGGTGTCTTATAAGCATCGTTACGGAGGAATGCGTCGGGGGGCGTTACTCTATGAGAAATATGATCATGCTTTCGTGTCTTCCATACCCCCGCGCACAGATCTCAGGAGGATCTCGGCAGGCTCCCTGAGTCCGAGAGGAGAATCGGCATAGGTAATCGGCATGCGGACTCGTTAGCCAAGCAAGCTCTCCTCCTCCACCCCCAAGCCTCTGAAGCTCTCTATCAAGAAGTTAGTGAGCAGATTGACAAATTAGTGTTTGCGGCCAAAGTCATGGCCAAAGTTTTGTGCGTCTTCCTTGTAAAGAGGTTCGAACGGAGCCCTTCTGGACCTAGGTGTAAGTTCCTCAGGTCTGGAGGCTGGCACCACTGGGAACTCTTGGACGCGGGTCGAGCTAGGTGCCTCAGATGCCTGCAGTTTTGGAAGGACCCTGGCACCCGTCCTTTGTTAGGCTGCAAGGGCCCCAGCAAGACCTGGTTTGGCGTCTTAAATTTCAGCAAGGGCCACACGTTGGCTCAGACTTTCGTCTCACGCGGAGACATTGCATCGAGTTTATTCTTTTGTACCACACCCGGCGCTTATACGTCGCGTCGCTGTTTCAAGTTGGGCCAGGAGTGCGTTGGCCGAAAGCTTTCAGGGGCTAAATCCACCCTGCCCCGCATTGTCTCTGGCCTTTTGCCCTCATTACAGGAACGAGGGGCGTGTTTCCCATACCTCTCGTATGGGGGGTCAATTATGAGTGATACGCTGCCTCTACCCCTCCCCCTCCCGAAGTCGCAACGTCAGCTGCGGGAGCGGAGAGGTTGGTTCAGACGCCTGGGATGCTTGCGCTGTTGGCGCGAGTTCAGGCGCGAGAGCGTGCCGCCGCGCCTGGTGTTCACCTGGCTGCGTCCGTACGAGGTTCGAGCTCGATCTGGCAGCCTCAGCCTGTGCCGCAGCGCGGTCGTGCAGCCCTCTCTCAGCAGGAGCAGGAAGAGTCGGTGTTCAGGGCACCTGACCCTGCACCTGGCTATGTCTGATTTCTCTGCTGTCGTTTCAGAAGCCTGGGGTGAGCCTGACATGCAAGTAAACCCACCCCAGCCTTGTGTGCACATGTGTGCCTTTTGCGGCACGTGCTGCATATGTGTCAGGGCCTAACTGTAGCCCCTTCGGTCCTGCCCACTGGCTCGCAGAGGAAAAAAATCCTCCTCCTCCTCCTCCTCCTCCTCCTCCTCCTCCTCCTCCTCCTCCTCCTCCTCCTCCTCCTCCTCCTCCCGCCTGGATCCACCCCTTTCCCCCCCCCCCCCCCGCGGAAGCGCAGGCTGCTGGCGGCCCCGCCCCCAGGCCCCACGCAGCCGCCGGCGGCCGCCCAGCACGCGCTGATGTGGCGGGCCCAGCGGGCGCACACCCGGTCCGCGGCGGCTCGGAGAAGCCACTTGCGTGTTGCGCAGTTCCTTCGATGCGCGCTTCTCCGGCTGCTCGATCTTCGACGGGCCTGGGTAGCCCGAATACACGCCGGTCGTTGAAAGTAGGTATGTTTGGATTCCCAGATCCCAATCTATTTCAAGAGCCTTCCTGCTTCAGGAATCGGCACGCTTTTGCTGCGTTCTGTTATTCTCTGTGGGGGCCTGGACCCAATGAACTTACTCCGCCTTCCTGCTTCATGTGTTTACCTACCTCTTCCGACCGACGTGTATGCAGAGAGGCCAGTGGCCGGTGCCTGGCGCGTTCCCTGCTGGGCGCTCCCTCTCGCTCCTCGAGGCACTTGCTGGTCAGCTCACCTCGGCCCAATTCACGAGACGCGAACACATCCCTATCCACGCCCTCGCGGTCTGGATTCCGGACAGCGATCCCTCGGATACGCGGTGGCACGGCTACGTTCCGCGCGGGGCATCCGCGCCAAAGCGCCCCGTAGCCGCGGGGTCGCGGCCCCAGGGGCCTGGCCCGCGAGGCCGCAGATACGGATATGTTCTTCGCCCACGGGGGAGGGTCGAGGGCGGACGGCAGGGCGGTGGGGGGGTGGACGTTCCCGTCGGTTCTCAGCGGTGTCCCAGCCTCGAGGTTCCTCCCAGCAGCCGCGTCTCGCCGAGGGTGTTCAAGGGTTGCCCGAGTCGTCCCGAGCGGACGCCAGAGAAGCGAGTCGGACAGGACGACGAGGATCATTCGGGTCGGATAGGCTGGCAGGAGGACCCTTCGCCTCCATTCGTTTTTCTTTCAAGAATGAGCCCAGCGCGACCCCAATTTGGGGAAAATGTCCCATTGCATGGGCGCAGTGATTGGCCTTGTTTGGCATTGTTTGGCGTTGCTTGGCACTGCTTCGCATGAGGCACCCAGGGAACCCGGGGAACCCGGGGAATCTCAGGGTAACGGGCAAAGTAAGCCCCTGAGGCACCAACCATTCACCAAGTAACAACCCGTTAGGCAAGCCTATTTTTGGAATGAACCCGGCGCGGCCCCAGTTAGGGGATGTCCTTTTGAAAATAAAACCAGGGCGAATTCGACGAAATGAACCTGGCGCGCCCGCGCAACGGAAATCTACACTGAACTTGAAGAGGGATGAACAGGATGATGCGATAGATTTCGCGCGCAGCATGGTCACAGTTGTTGTCCAACGCTCCTGTCGCGGCGGCGGGGAACCCGAGGAACCCGGGGCGGCGCGGAACCCGAGGAACCCCAGGAACCCGAGGACCGAACGCGTGACATGGAAATCATGGAACTCGAGAAACCTTGGGAACCCGAGGACCCGAGGATCACCGAACGCGTGACGTTGATCACCGAACGCGTGACAGTGTGGAGGAACCCAGGGAACCCGAGAAACTTCCGAAGAAAGGGCAGCGTTACAATACGAGGCACCAGGGGCGAGGAATCCGGGGAACCTGGGGTACCTTCGAGCAACTAGCAATGTAAGAATCGAAGGCACCGAGGGCGAGGAACCCAGGGACCCCGAGGAACCCGGGGAACCTCCGGGCAACGGGCAACGTAAGAATCCGAGGCACCAGCCTCACCCCTTGTGCAAGCCTACTTGGGGAATGACTCACCCCATGTCGCACCCCAAGACGTGTCGGTAGGGCGGGCGGGGCGTTTCGCCGGAGACTTCCTCGCCATGTTGGATATTGCGGCTTGCATGTTGCCACAGCTTCCAGGACGGAGGGCGGGTGCTTTTCAACGTGTGGTTCTCTCTGTCTTCGCGCCGCGCACATTCCTTTTGAAGGTTTGCAGCAGCTTCCAGGATGGAGGGCACGTGGTTTTCAAAATGTGTCTCTCGCTCTAGCACCGCGCACACTCGTCGTAAGAAAGATTGCAACGGCTTCAAGGATGGAGAGCGCTTCTTTGTCAAATGTGCTTCTCGCCTCAGCGCCGCGCGTCCTTTTTGAGCAGTTTGAAAGATGGAGGTCCTTTCCCCTTCAAAGTGTGGCTCTCGCTGTAGTGCCGCGCACCTTCGTTTTGAAGTTTTGCGTCGGCTTTGAAGGTCCGTATGGTTGAAGAAGTCTCAGGAATGGGGCTCTGGCACAAGATCGGCTTGTCGGGAAGCAACAGTCACGTTGATTCGCAGTGTTGACGTCGCAGGAACGGTGTTCTGGCACGATCTACTATCGCCAGGACGCAACAGCACGTTGATTCGCGGCGCTGTGGTCCCAGGAATGGTGCTGCGTCACGATTAAGGACTCTCAGACGGTTGTCCTCCAGTGGAGCACTTGCCGCTGGGGCCTATCAAGAGGAACTTTGAAGGGAGGATTGATTGCATCATTTTTGATGCGTCTTTGGTTTGTACTGGCGCTCCTCCTCCTTCTCTTCCTTCTCCTCCTCCTCCTCCTCCTTCTCATCATCATCACCGTCATCATCATCATCATCATCATCATCACCATCATCATCATCATCATCATCATCACCATCACCATCACCATCACCATCATCATCATCATCATCATCATCATCATCATCATCATCATAATCATCACCATCACCATCACCATCATCATCATCATCATAATCATCACCATCACCACCACCATCATCACCATCACCATCACCATCATCATCATCATACTCATCACCATCACCATCACCATCATCATCATCATCACCACCACCATCACCATCACCATCATCATCATCATCAGCATCAGCATCATCATCATCATCATCATCATCATCACCATCACCATCATCATCATCATCACCACCACCATCACCATCATCATCATCAGCATCATCATCATGATCATCACCATCACCATCATCATCATCACCATCACCATCACCATCACCATCATCATCATCATCATCATCATCAGCATCATCATCAGCAGCAGCATCATCATCCTCACCTCTCGTCCCTTCTCCTCCTCCTCCTCCTCCCTCCCGCCCTCCCTCCCTCCCTCCCTCTCTTCCTCCCCCCTCCCTTGCTCCTATCTCTTCCTCCCCTTTGCTCTCCCCTTCCTGCTAAGGTCCGAGGTGCCCAGGCTTCTCGAGGACGGAGGATCGGGCAGGACGGAGGATCAAGGTCCGAGGTCCGACGACGACGACGACGACGAAGGTGACGACGGCGACGACGACGACGACGACGACGGCGACGACGACGACGACGACGGCGACGGCGACGACGACGACGACGACGGCGACGAATGGGGAGGATCGGGAAGGACGAAAGGGGGATATGTGCAAGGGGCGCGTGCGACATCTGCTCCGTGCAGCTGGCTTCGGCCCCGCCGCCCAGCGCGTGCCTCGACGCATGGTCGCCTACTGGCCCCGGGCGGCGCAGGGAGAACCAGCTCTGTGAGCCGATTCGCTCACCACCTCTGCTATCCACCCCCTTCGCCGAACCCGAGAGGATCGAGGATCGAGGTCCGAGGGTCGATGAGGATCGAGAAGGATGGATAATCGAGGGGGGCAAGTCGGGGAGGAGGACGGTGGAGGATCGAGTGGGGTGTGTCGAGGAGGATCGGATGGAGGATTTGGTATGAGGATCGATGAGATTGGAGGGTCCAGGTCCGAGGTTTTCCGGTTTGTGGTATTGTTTCGCAGTATTCGGCTCCCCCACCCAGGAGGTCAGTCAGAGGGGGCTCTGTGGGGTTCTCAGATGTTTCTGGAGGGTTTCGCGAGGTTTCGGGAAGAGAACATCATGCACCTCTAGAATGAAGATGCATCGCTACAGAGCGTTCCGCAGCGATCTCAGGGCGCTCCGGAACGCTCCGCAGTAGCCGCAGCGCCCGATATCTCTTGCAGGCCCGCTGGCTATCAGACGGAGTGTCTTGACTGTAAGAGACCCCCCTGCCTTCTTGGAAGGCCGCGTCCATCGCCCCCCCCGTAGGGATCTCACTTGGGGTGATTACGCCTTCTCGTTCGGGACTGATCTTTCTGCAAGCGTGCGGAGGCCTCGCGGGCGATGCCTCTCTCTCTCACCCAGTCCCCGGGCTCCCCCCCAAAAATTGGCCGCTCAGGACAGGAGGAGGACTCGGGGATACACCCCTGGGGCGCGATTTGGAAGCACCCCCTTATCGAGAATGGACGGCCCCCCCTCGTATATTCGCGAGTCTAGCCCCACATTTTCTGCCCAGTCGAACACTCACAAAGTCGGAGGTTGGGGTCGCGATAACAGCAGGACCACGTTGGCCTCGGGAGGGATTTACTTTCGGGCCGTTCCGAGCTGATTCGTGTGCCGAGGCCCGTAGTGACCAGAAAAGCCCTTCGCTCCTTACTCAACGTTCCTCTTGGTAGCGCTGCGGCGGCGAATCGTGCCTTCCCTCCCCCGCCTTCTTTCCCTCCCCCTCCTCCTCCTCCTCCTCCTTCTCCTCCTCCTCCTCCTCCTCCTCCTCCTCCTCCTCCTCCTCCTCCTCCTCCTCCTCCTCCCCTTCCACCGTCCCCTGCCTCCACGTGCAGGGAAGGCACCCGCGAGGTGGCACGCCTGGCCGCGGCGGGGGCGCGCGAAGTGTGCCGTCTGGACCCGAGTTCGCGGCGCACGAGGACCGCACCGCCCCGCGACCTCCCCGCACCCCCTGAGGCTCCCGCCGGCGAGGCCCTCCTCCGCCGCGGCCCCCGCGGCCGCGCGGGCGCCGAGCGGCGCCGCCGCCGCGCCCCAGCCGCCTGCCGACGCGGGCCCGGCGCTGGCGGTGCGCGCCCCGGCGCAGCCGTGGCGCCCCCGGCAGGCCCGCCTTCGGGGGCAGCGTTGCAGCAGGGAGTTCTGGGGCTCCGAGGCCCACCGCCGCGGTGGATGTGGAGGTGTTGGGTTCCCCGGGGGCCAAGCTGGTGGGGTGCGTGCACAGAGCTGTCTACGGGGGTGTCATGGCGTGGCGCTGCAGTTGGGGATCCATTCTGCAACCGCTGCTGCTCTATATCGAAGTCTGCTGCTCGGCTGAGGGCCGAGGGCCCGGCCCGGGGGGGGCC